CACATTATGCCACTAGATGGAGCCGAAGAGCAAATGTAATATCACATTATGGCCACTAGATGGAGCCGAAGAGCAAATGTAATACCACATTATGGCCACTAGATGGAGCCGAGGGGCACATGAGATAAACATTTCCTATGCTCATTAGCACCATCCAGTGGCCAAAATTCGGTATTACATTATATTAAACCTGAAATTAATATTACTAAGTCCACTTGTTTCCGTTATTCACACAGAATGGACATTCACGGAGATTTGCAGGGAGAAAGGCTCTGTGAACGGTTTATAACTAGATCCCTTTGTGTATTTCTTCCTTATCTGCACAGAAACCCAACACGAATTCTATATCCTATCAAAGTGTGCTTGATGGGACTGTGAGATCATCTGTCTGAGGGTAGTTCACACCAGCCCCAGTGCCTTCCGGCGCGATCAATGCCGGAACGCACTTGATCGCATCCCGGCCGCCTCACTGCGTTCTGGGGCTAGGCATTGAAGTCAATGGCCCCCCGTCTACAGTGCGATTGCCGCACCGGTACGCGTGGCACATCAATGCCTGGTGCATGGACTATTTTTTTCTGATCGACCCAAATCGAAATTCAGGTACAAAATCCCCCCCAAAAATTTGAATCAATCCAAAACTAAACACATTTTTTAAGCCTTTACATGTCTAGTAAGTCCCAGTCCCTGGGCTGTGTTTACAAATGTCTGACACAGATTAGCCCCTGATGCAGCCTCTCACTTTATGACTTGCAACGGTTACAATGTCGCTGTGTCATCACTGTGGCAGAGGAGACTGAGGAAATGCTTCCTCCTGCCTGCAGAAGACTGATCACTGAGAGAGAGGAGACTGAGAAAATGCTTCCTCCTGCCTGCAGCCGACTAATGACATCATCTCAGCCTAGACAGGGTCATAGGCCTAAGGCTCAAGGATGTTTTTTAATGATAAGTGGAGTTGTCTGAAAGGACACCATTGCTGTGTATTGGGACACGTTGTGAATTTATATATTCTTGCAGTTAGTAAAAGGCCCAATGTACGTATCACCGCGCTCGGTGTATTTGTACCGCGGCTTCCATGCATCTTCCACGGGGAGAAAGGGTCATGTATATAAAACACACCATTTGTTTGACACAATACTGACCATTCATTTCCGCCTTCTCCCGTCCTGAGCGATGGAAGTCAGTTCTATGAGCAGATCTGGCGGTAATGGTGCCGTGCTGATGAGCATTGTGTAATAGGTGTGAGCTGGAACCGACACATTTCATGTTGGTCACAGATAAGAAATGACGGGTATCATGTCTCTTAATCTCCTCATCGGTGGATGATGCTTCTTCTGAGATCAATAAGGATAAAATGGTGGTGGAGCTCTACCGCCACCTAGTGGACAATATAGAGTAAGACACTGCTTCTCTATGGTTCTCTGATCTTGTAGCACCATCCTGTGCTGCCTGCCCTGAACTCTGGCTTGCCTGCCGACCTCTGATCCTGTGCTGCCTGCCCTAAAAACTCTCGCTTGCCAGTCAACCTCTGATCCTGTGCCACCTGCCCTAAAAACTGGCTTGCCTGCCGACCTCTGATCCTCTGCCGCCTGCCCTAAACTCTGGCTTGCCTGCCTGCCTGCCTGCCCTGAACTCTGGCTTGCCTGCCGACCTCTGATCCTGTGCTGCCTGCCCTAAAAACTCTCGCTTGCCAGTCAACCTCTGATCCTGTGCCACCTGCCCTAAAAACTGGCTTGCCTGCCGACCTCTGATCCTCTGCCGCCTGCCCTAAACTCTGGCTTGCCTGCCTGCCTGCCTGCCCTGAACTCTGGCTTGCCTGCCGACCTCTGATCCTGTGCCATGCCCTAAAAACTCTGGCTTGCCTGCCTATCTCTGATCCTGTGCCGCCTGCCCTAAACTCTGGCTTGCCTGCCGACCTCTGATCCTGTGCCGCCTGCCCTAAAAAACTCTGGCTTGCCTGCCTATCTCTGATCCTGTGCCGCCTGCCCTAAACTCTGGCTTGCCTCCTGACCTCTGCCCCTGTGCCATAGGTATCCGTCAAGGAAATCCAACCGGTACCCATAGTGCAGGCTCTGTACAGATCGCTGCACAAAGCACTTCATGGATGAATGCGCGAGTAAGGAGCCATGGTGCCAGTATCACGCATCGGAATGCGCATGGACTCCGCACACATGCAGCACTGTGCATGCGCCTGTTCCTGGCTCCAGGTGGGCTATTTAGGCCCCGTTCACACGTTTCCGTTTTGTCGGGCGTTCAACGCTCTATGAACGCTCTACAAAACGTACAACCATGAAAATCCCATTGTTTTCTATGGGCATGGTTCACACCTTTCCGTATTTCCGGCCGTCTGAACGCCCTACAAAACGGCTGACGCCCAAACAAGTACTTCTTTGGGCCGTTTTGGAGGGCGTTTTCCATTGGGATACAGCCAAGCAGCCTTCGGAATCGCGCGACGGTCGCGCAATTCTTTTACCGCGAATCGCGGTAAAAAAACCGCGTGACAGTCGCGCGACAGACGTGCATACGTAAAACGCCTAGGTGTGAACCCAATGTTAGGGATGTTCACTGCAACCACATGCTGCTGAGAGATCTTCAGCTAGTACTCTGCGTTTTACCCAATTATTTTCCTGAAACCTGATTCTGATCCCGCTCTTTGCTGCCTGCCTTGCGGCTTGTCTTCTGACCACTCTTCTGCCTCCTGATTGGGTACCTCTCTGCTTGCAAGTTATTGACTCCGGACCCCGCTCTTTGCTACCTGCCTTGCGGCTTGTCTTCTGACCACTCTTCTGCCTCCTGATTAAGTAGCCCTCTCCTTGCAAGTTATTGACCCCACTTTCTCCTGATCCTGTACCATGCTGCCTGCAAGATACCGGCTTGGCTTGCCTCCGATCACACTTCTGTTTCTCACACCATCTGATCTACGGTCTACATCCTCCCTGACAGTCAGACTCTTCGGCTACCACCAGTACCCAGACGTCTGCGTCACCTCCTCCAGTGTGATCAGCATCAGCCACAGAGATTCCTGCCCCACTCCGTCTGTACATCTGCTGTTCCATCCCCAGTGGTGCTCAGACGAGAGTAACAAGGGGAGGCCTTCCTCATCACTTCAGGTTCATACCGAGGTACGTGACCGTATCTTATAAACACACACACCATGCATGTCTATAATATACATAAAAATAAGCAATATTTATTTTTCAAACCTCAAAAAAGAGAAAACTTTTCAGATCACAGCATTTTAAAAACCTAAACGGGTCCTAAAAATGCACACGTCACATAAACATAGTAACCGACGCACGACTCTATGAACACATGGACATATCCCAATTAGTGTTAAATATTTTGTTGGGACCATGCTGCAGGAAGCTGACCGAATGTGATCACTTGTCTAGAATGAAGATGTCCCCCGTGGTGGAGAACTCCCCTTCAACTGCTAAAAAACAATAAACTAATTATACAAAATAAAAAGTTCCTCTGCCGATTCAGAACAACTTCAATTGCAGAGTAATCTATTCTATCTCTTGTTATGAATGAAAAGGAGATCCAAGATGACCGGTGTTCACCAGGATCTAGTGCCCAACCTGTGCCACAAGACACCGCAAATGGCCCTTCGGCACTTATGGGGCCCCCAGTAGGGGGCATCAGACATGTATTTGTAAAGGGACTGTAATAGTAGTAATCCCTTGCAGTCTCATATAACATATTCTCAGTATGTAGTAGGTACCGTAGTAGGTACTCAAAGTACCTTCAGAGTACCCATTGAGGGAGGACTGCTTTTTGAGAGCTGCCCGACCAGAACCAGTGAGCCAATTTAAAAAACCTCTTTGCATTCGATCTTTTGACCAAGCCTTGAAATCACAGCGCCTCTTTAATTATTTCATCCTTTCATACGCGCGCAGCCTTCTCTAATATTAAATACAGCGGGGGGGATTTATCAACTGGAGCAGATTTGCACTGCAACCAATGAGCTTCTCTGCCTCATTTTCAAATCTTACCTGAGCAAACTGAAGAGAGATGCTGATTGGTTGCCATGGGCAACTGCTCCAGATTCTGTATGCTCCCGTTTTGATAAATTCCCCCCATTAAATGTTATGTGGAGCCTCCCTTGGAAAAAGCAAGTGGGAGGCGCTGCAGCCAGTCATTTTTATCCTGTAGTGTAGCATTGGATCTATTATATGGCGTGCAATCGCTCCTGGGGGTAGAGGAGCAAGGCAACCCCACGCCAATATTTAGGAGTCCAAATGTGTTTATAAAAATCGTAGGTAAGGAAAAGCATGCAAGTGCGTTACAGGGGGCTCAGGCATGCCCCCTTCATCAGGGCTCAATGTGCTGGTGGAGATTGGATGGTGAATTCAAAAGGATTAAAAGATTCCAGGAACAGAATTGCATGTTAAAAGGCAGCTTTAGCGACTAGTTGCTGCAATATTGCTTCTGTGATGGAAGAAAAAACAAAAACCTTTTGGACTCCTAAATATTGGCGGTGCTCTACCGGCATGGCTCCGTTGATGTGGCTCTACCGGCATGGCTCCGTTGATGTGGCTCTACCGGCATGGCTCCGTTGATGTGGCTCTACCGGCATGGCTCCGTTGATGTGGCTCTACCGGCATGGATCCGTTGATGTGGCTCTACCGGCATGGATCCGTTGATGTGGCTCTACCGGCATGGATCCGTTGATGTGGCTCTACTGGTGTGGCTCTCCTTTTATGCTATCACTCTTAACTATGCCTAATGTCCTTTCTAGTTATCACCAGGGAGATGCCAGAGCTGTCCCTGACAAATTCAATGTAAAAAGCCAGTGAATGATTCAGCTCACTAATGCTCACCCTTTAAAAAAAAAAAAAGAAGGTTTGGGCTAACGTCCCCTTTAAATGAGCAAAGGCATGGAACAAAGACAAGTATCAAATGGCATTTACATGACTGATGATGTAATTGGCCTGCCTTAAATGATTGCATTTACAGTTTGGTTCAGCCGGCAAAGTGACTGCCCCAAATTGTTCAAACAACAGGCGCAAACCGCACAGATGAAGCCTTTAGTCGAGGATCATGGCGGACAGTGCATTGAGATCCCGCATGTAAGGATGGGCGCTCAAGACTTGGTTGATTTTCTCTCTTTGCTGCACCTCAGGAAATATTTTCGTCAGTTCGGTCTTTAGGGTCATAGTCTCGTAATAGTTCCTCTGGGCCGGGAGTGGGGTCGGGAGCGGAGCTCGGGGACGGGGTATGTTCAATATAGCTGGATTGATCTGCCGGGGAGGTAATGCAATTGGAGGCACGCGAATGTGTTTGGCTGCCACTCTGATCACAGGGTGGTCAAAGCTGGGGAAAAACACTCCGCTGTCTGGGGGAAGGGTCGGCGATGGGTTTCTGGAAAGGTAATAAAGAGAAAAAAGGTTAAAAGATCAGCTGAGCATACCTAACATTATTACATATAACCTGTCTACTTTATCCACTGGAGCTAAGCTACAGGCAGGCGGGCCAGCTATTAATCAAATTATTTCCTCATTAAAAAGTAATTTATTATTTCAATGTACATATATCCTGGACTCCGATTAAAAGTTCTGTAGAGGAGGACAATGGTGACCTCATCAGTGTGTTACTGCTCCCTCATTGCCCAATACACAGGCTGTGGGCAGGTTGGTGACCAAGCTCCATTCCTTAACTGCAGTGGAGAAAAGAAAAGTCACCAACCTTCTTATTGTGTCTGTCAGTTGGTATCTGGAGCAAAAAAACAAGCTGAATGGACTTAAGCCTTTCACACCTTGGTGTTCATTTATAAAAGTTCTGGCCCGCGACGGTGTTCGCATAGCACTAGTGCCCCTAGATGGCGCTGACGAGCATAGGCATTTCTAGCCATCTAGGGGTGCTAGTGCCACACGGACAACATCTGTCCGATATATAGCTTTTTTTAAATGAATCCCCTAGTGCAATGGCTCTCAACCTGTGTAACCTCAGGACCCACATCTGTCCTTGGTCATTAAGTCGCGACCAAAGTCGCACTGCAATGGAACGCACAACACTGCTGTATCGTGCGTTTCAGGCGATCGAACTGTGGTTGGGAGGTGCGTTTGGGGTGCCATTCAAAAGATCCACCCAGTCTCCATACCTTACAAGAACTGGAGTTGATCCTCAGCCTGGGGTCCAGTGTGGGCTTCTATGCTGTGACAGAGCTCCATCCATATTGCTTGTACAACTCCCTTTGCATGCCCTGTAGAGGTTCCGGGAGCAAGACTGTAACATTACTCTGGTCCAGGCACCTCTACAGGACACCTGAGGGAGCTGTACTTATGGATCATTCAGCTAACCTCACGGCCTTAGCCCCAGCCCATCCCACCTCAAGCTGACACTCTGCACTGGGCAGCATATTTTCAATGGCTGTTTGGTGCAAGAACTGCAAAAGGAGGAGTCCGAGGAGCCTCTCACTGGAAGGCATGTGGCGACCCACTGAACATCATTGTTATTATTACTACATAGGATTTATATAGCGCCAATAGTTTGCGCAGCGCTTTACAATATAAGGAAGACATTACAATCACAATACAATTCAAGACAAGATGGTAAGGAGGGCTCTGCCCCTGAGGGCTTACAATCTAAAAGAGGAGGGGGAAATGATACATGAGGAGGTAGCTGTGTGGGGATGAATTGTTTGAGTCACAACCCACCAGTTGAGAGCCAAGGCCCTAATGTATTCCACCTGTGTATTAGGCAGTCTGCCTGGAGTTCAGCTTCAATGGATCTAGCATGTAAAAATGTTATAAGCATGTTGATGAGCGAGGAGGCAAAACACAAGCAGCTTTAGGCTTTTATAAATCACTCCCGTTAAAGCAGACTATGCGAGTGATACCTGTTTTCAGGAAATAAACTGAGAAAGGTGTCCAGCCTCGGGCCATTCCGTCCCAATGGATCATCTGGGAGCATGAAAATGTCACCGACAAACGTGTACTGCAATATCCTGCAGGCAAAACAGTAACAAGTTAGTGAACCCTTTCGCTGCCGAAGCAATTTTTTCTTTTCTCGCACACATAAGATTGCTTAAAACCCCCCAAACATTTCATATGTTTTTGGAAAGCAGAAGGCCTGTACAATAAATAGGTGGTAGTTGTAAATTTTAATGTCGCATGTTATTTGCACAAACTGTTTATTGAACCTTTTATTTTCAGGAAAATATATACTACAATCATTTATAGTACACACAAACACAATAAAATCCCAATTAAAAAAATACATTATATAGATCTATATATAGAGATATATAGATATATATCTATATATCTCTATATATAGAGATATATAGATATATGACATTGTGTATATGAGAGGAGATTGTGTCTAGTAAATAGATACCAAACATGTCAAGTCTAAAAACTGTGTGCGCCTGCGAAATGGCGATGAACTACGATACCCGGTATTGTCAACAGGCGAGGATTTAGAAATCTTTACAGCTCATCAGTTTAGAAATGACTGAAGAATGGCCATAGAAATATTCCTCTCATGCTGGATCACATTACAGTAAATATGTGTTACGCAATTGTTCATGTATGTGCATGTGTCCCAGGTGAGCGTATTTGTATGCACAGCATGTGTATTGGGCAATGGCTCTATCCTTTTTTTTTTTTTTCAAATTTATTTTAACTTCACTTTTTATATTTATCTGTTTAACACCATCACAAGGAGGGCCGATAAACCCCCTATGTGATAGTATTGTGCAGTGACAGATTCTCTTTATGGAGACATCAGAAGTCTGATATACCTCTAATGTCTCCCCTGTTCTGCTTCTTGCTGCCTGGATGAGAGAGCTGTTGTTCCCTTACTGGTCACAACCAGAGCTTTCACTCAGCGATGGAGCTACACAGGGAAGCAGGCGAGTACTTTCTCTAAAGTTTTTAGTGATCCCATCTTTGGCTCTTCATTTCTTGTCAGTGACAGCAATGCTAGTATGAGAAGAGATGGCCTTAAATGAGCTCACTGGCTTCTGTAGCTAGAGGCACTGTGGAGCAATTAATCCTCAAATTTTACAGCAAAAGCACCGAAGTTGTCCAAGTACTTCTCTCAGCAGCTTAGCCCCCCCCCCCCCTCCCCCAGCAGTGACTCAGCAGCTCAGCTCACCCTGCAAGCAGTGACTCAGCAGATCAGCTCACCCAGCTCTCCCTACCAGCAGGTCAGCTCACACAGCTCTCCCTACCAGCAGTGATTCTGCAGGTCAGCTCACCCAACAGTGACCCAGCAGCTCAGCTCACCCAGCTGTCCATACCAGCAGTGATATAGCATCCCCATTCCAGCAGCACAACTCACCATGAACCTCCTTCGTAGCAGCAACTCAGCCCCCCCCCCCCCCCACCCGCCGTGGTT